ACTATATAATGCTAATCAGTTAGCCTATATTAACTATAGGTAGCCTAATTATCGAAAATAAATTTGTAAGTTAATCATAGTTAGCATGGTATTTGTGGTAAAACTATACAATTAGCCTACTCTTTTACCATAATAAAACCATAGTTTATTTTAGTAAATTTGTAAACACTAACCATGTTAGCATAATGTTTGTAGTAAATGCTAATCAGTTAGCCTACTACTTTATTACTGTGATAACCATAGTTAATTTTTGAAAATAAATTTGTAAACAAATCGTTGCTAGCATGATATTGGTAGTAAAATATAAATGCTAATCGATTAGCCTACTGCTTTATTACTACAATAAAAACATAGTTTATTTCCATAAAGTAATTTGTCAAACACTAGCCATAGTTAGCATGGTGTTTGTGGAAAAGCTATACAAATGCTAATTAATTAGCCTACTACTTTATTACTATAATAAAGCCATAGCTTTGAATATTTGTGAACACTAACCATGGTTAGCATGGTGTTTGTAAATGCTTCACAATTAGCTTACTACTTTATTGCTCTAATAAAACCATAGCTAATTTTCATAAGGAAATGTGTAAACACATGATGTCTGTGGTCAAATATAAATGCTAATCAATTAGCCTAGCCAACAACATTTTTACTATAATTATCATAGTTATTATAGTAAAGAAATTTGTAAACTAATCATGGCTAGCATGCTATTTGTAGTAAAATATAGACGCTAATCAATTAGCCTCCTATTTTATTTCTACTATAATAAAAACAAAAAGAAATTTGTAAACACTAGCCATGGTTAGCATGGTGTTTGTGGTAAAACTATACAAATATGTCAATCAATTAGCCTACTACTTCTACTTTACAAACTAGTAATAAACAGCTAATTAGTAGTTTACTAAGCTAGCAGTGTTGCTTAATGGTTTAATAGCATCAATTGTGACCTACACTAAAGTACACCCTAATTTTCTGCAGTGTCTCGCCTTAAAAACTGCTTTAAGCTTTGAAAATGCATGACTTCGCCTCATAATTATACACTTGCCAGACTTTTATGTAATTGCGCTCGCATGTTGATTTGTCATGTTTGGTGAATCTGGCCCTTAAAGGCAAAGGGTGGCAATGCAAAGTGTCAGCTTGTTTACTGAACTTCTTTAGAAATAATCCACACCCTGAGTAGTGATGTTGAAATTCAATAAACCGGAGTCAATTATTCTATTGATGTATTATTGCCCTAACTCTTTCCACAATACATCTTAAGAGATTGTTCAGAGACTGCATTGAAGACATTTGTCAAGTTTCTGTCCGTAATCCTCTACTCTTAAGGTTGCATTAATAAACCATTATATAGGCTAAATACAGTAATGCCGTTAGTTATGAGAGAGTGTGAGTGTTTCCATTTTTTTAGTTGAAGTTTGACTGTTGCAGAGCTTTAAAATGGCAAAATAGTCTGCCAATGGGGTAGGAGAAATAAAGGTTTTTCATTTTGACATAAGAGTAGTCTGCTTGCCCCGGTGGCAGATTATTGTGCTTGTTTTAAGCAGGAACTGACTAAATTTTGGCATATTAATTCTGAAAACAGAATGACCAACTGACTGACTGACCAATCGACTGACCCATCCTCCTCCTTGCCTAAACCCAACCAATAGTGTCTTTCAAAAGCACAGATTGTAAGGTGTCCCTATGACGTGGTGTTTTGAATGCTTCGAAACAGTGAATCCTTTTGCAGAGCATTTGGTTCGGTTGTTTTGAAGCTTTAAGAAGCTTTGTTTCTCCCATTGCTGTCGTCAGCAGAAGAAAGAAACTCATAGTGGAACACATAAAGTGTGAGTAAATGCTGACAGAACCTTTTATTTTTTAGTGACCTGTGCCTTTAAGACCTGCCTGGAACTAATAATAAAGGATATATAATATACAATATATTAAGGATTCAGGATATCAGGATTGGATTTTAGACCACCAGAATTGAATTTTTGGGCATCAGAATTGTTTTTTTGGGTGTAAGGATTGGATTTTTGGGCAACAGAATTGAATTTTTGGGCATCAGAATTGAATTTTTGGGCATCAGAATTGGATTTTTTGGGTGTCAGGATTGGATTTTTGGGCATCAGAATTGGATTTTTGGGCATCAGAATTGGATTTTTTGGGCATCAGCATTGGATTTATGGGTGTCAGAATTGAATTTTTGGGGATCAGGATTGGATTTTTGAGCATCAGGATTGGATTTTTTGGGTGCCAGGATAGGATTTTTGGGAATCAGGATAGGATTTTTGGGCATCAGGATTGGGCTTGAGAGTGCCAGGATTAGATATTTGGAGGGTCAGGATTGGATCTTTAGGCACCTGGATTGGATTTTTGGGAATCAGGATTGGATTTTGGAGAATCAGGATTAGGTTTTTGGGAACCAGGATTGGATTTTGGGTGCCAGGATTAGATATATAAGAGGGTCAGGACTGGATTTTTGAGCATCAGGACTGGATTGGATTTTTGGGTGCCAGGATTGGATATTTGGGAATCAGGATTGGATTTTGGAGAATCGGGATTAGGTTTTTGGGAATTGGGATTAGGTTTTTGGGCACCAGGATTGGATTTTTGGGTGCCAGGATTGGATATTTGGGGGGTCAGGATTAGATTTTTTGGCCATCAGGATAAGATTTTTGGGCATCAGGATTGGATTTTTGGGTGCCAGGATTGGATTTTAAAGAAAAAACAAGATAATTGACGAACTCTGTTGGCAGATTATTTAGCATGTTTTTAGGAGATACTCACTTAATTTTGACTCATTTCTGAAAACAAAACAATATTTTTGCTTGTCTAGAAAAAGTTTCTTGATTTAAGAATTTTCAGATATTTGGACTAAAAATACGATATAATCTTTTTTGCAGTGTCATCAAACAATCCGGATCAAGCATTTGACAGCCCAGTAGTAGGCTGTAGATAGAAGTTTATAGATGACTTAAACGTATTTTCTAAAGCATGGCTGCAGGCGGATTCTTCAAACATCTTAAACAAATGGAAAGAACTGTGGCAACAAGTATTACCAGATTTACTTGATGAGGTCAAATCTCTGCTGGATCATCTGTTGTCTGATCGTTTATACACGCACACGCAAACTTTCACTTTTTTTTTAACAGGGATGGGAAAACTATTGTTTAAAATATAAATAGTAAATTCCACCTGCCAAAGTAACAAAAGCTAAAAATAAATCATTTACCTGACTCTGCCAATCTGCCTATCAAAACAATTTTACGCAGAATTGTACCAAACACCCCCACTCAAACAGTTTGTATTATCATTACTTACTTTAACAGAAATAAGATTTTTATTAACACATTTCTAATCATAAAAGTTTTAAAAACTCATTTCTAATAGCTGATTTATTTTGTCTTTGCCATGATGACAGTAAATAATAGTTGACTAGTTATTTTTCAAGACACTTCTATACAGCTTAAAGTAGCATTTACAGGCTTAACTAGGTTAATTAGGTCGTAGAAACAG